ACATCCTCTTGTATTGCTGTATATACTGTATTGCTGTATATACTGTATTGCTTGAGAATGCGTTCAATGCACAACAATGCTGAAAATGTGTCTTCTCTTCCTGTGTTACTTATATCCACATGTATATATGTGTGCGCGGCATATATGTGCATTTATGTATGTTGCATATGTATGTGCGTATATATGTGCTTGCCCGGCCCAACTGCAAATTATCATCATTGAAAGGATAATTTTGAATTTTTGCATTTCAATGGTTTATGCCGAATTCTATTTCCGATGGTTCGTTTGTTGATATAGATTTCAATGTTATCTTTCAATTATCACTCTTGTAATTGGCCAATTTATGGTGTTTTTGAATGAAGAATTTGGTTGCAGGGACAGAAATTGGGTTGTGGATTTGCCTATTTTGAGAATTACAGTTTGGGGTTTGGTCATATTTCTTAACCAGAAAAAAAAATGTTCAGTTGTCTAGTTCGGGTTTTATGTAATTGTTTGTTAACTTGGCAGGCTGCTAAACCTATTTATATTAGTAGATTTAGAACTCTATTTAAATATATAAATGGGGGTGATAGGACTATACCCATTTATTGGTCATTAAACAAAAAATTGGTTTCATAACAGTATGATGAATGATAGTTTATCATTTTGTTTCGTCTGTGCGTGTTACTCGGGCGCTATGTGCGTGCACACCTCACTCAAACACACGCACTCATAATGCCTCCTGCACGCACAAGCACATGTGAGAGAGTGATCGATAAACAGAATAAGATGAGTTTGAAAAGCGCGCTAAAACACAGTATAGTCGGGTTTGGTGATATTCAGTGACAAGCAAAAGAAAATGTGAGGTTTCATGATCTGGTGCTCGATTGACGCACGCAAGCACGCACACACACACACACACACACACACACACACACACACACACACACACACACACACACACACACACACACACACACACACACACACACACCTGGACCAGCATCCGTCACCATCTCAGCTGATTGCTTCGAAACTACCAAATTCGAACCCAAACTTGCTTTGATTAGTCATCTGCCAATCCCAAGTAACAGACATCACAAAACCTGCTATAACGTGTGGATTGGTATATATGATTCTCTGAGAGCTCTTGCTCTAGATCTTACAGTGATCTCTTGTTATGTTGTTGTTTAAGATTCACTCCTTGGAACCAAAAGTTGCAAGTAGCACGGGCTATGGTGAGCCCGTTGTGGACTTACCTGGCACAGGAGCGAGGCTGAAACTTGTAACTTTCTCTTGTGGAGTTATTGTTTCAGATTTAGCTACTCAAAACGAAATGTCCATGTAGCACGGGCTACGGTGAGCCCGTATTTTCTCTTGTGGAGTGATGCAGGATATACAGCTGCGCTCTTACCTGATGATGGCGGGGTTCTCTGGCTGCTGGATATTTCTGTAAATTGCATAAATAAATTAGCATACATCTTTTGATTGAAGATTCGAAAATCCGACTTTTTGAATTTATACTTGATATTGTATAAAAAAAAAGGTGCTCATTTCCCAAGTATAAATAGAGTATTATTATGCAGGCGATGAGTCACAATAACGTGGCTGAAGTATGTTGACCAGACCACACACTAGAAGGTGAAGGGACGACGACGTTTCGGTCCGTCCTGGACCATTCTCAATCGACTTGAGAATGGTCCAGGACGGACCGAAACGTCGTCGTCCCTTCAACTTCTAGTGTGTGGTCTGGTCAACAGTATTATTATGTATTTGTCCTTCACGTTTCGATTTAATTACGATGGTTTAGATATTGATTAGAGATGCTTAGTTGATAGTGAAGGAAATACTTGTAGAGTCTGGCATTATATTGATGTTCCCTTAATTACAGAATAAGGCAACCATTGGGATTAATTAGTCAGGAGAACTCATCGGGTCTGAGATCTGGTAATGAGCTGCGGGAATGAGCACAAAAGGTGGAGAAGAATGTTTGGAAAACCCCCCAAAAATGCAAAATGAATTTAAGAAAGTTGACTGCCATAAATGTAAATTACAAATGAGAAAAAACTTTGTTGTTCTGAGATCTCTGAGATTTCTTTGTTGTTTTCGGTTCGAGTGCTAACAAGAGAACACGAAGTTATTTGTTTGTTATTAATGGGTTAAGAACAATGTTATAAAAGACAAATGAACACTGCAGTACGCCTACTGGCCCCATGAGAGAACACCTGTCCTGTTCATATCTTGGTTTTAAAACACTTTCCAAAGATCTGCTTCAATAATCTCACGACTACCATCATTTTTGTACAGTCAGTGTGGTCTAGTGGTTAAGGAACCAGGTACGCTAAGGTGCATAGTGCTCCTGGTTTTCTTTGCTCAAATCCTTCTGGGGTGTGGAGTTTTCAGTTAAATATATATATATATATATATATATATATATATATATATATATATATATATATATATATATATATATATATATATATATATATATATATATATATCTCACAACCTGGTGAAGGAAATCCTACCTGAGTACCTAGGCCAACAGGCAGGTGTACATGATCTCAGCTTTACGGTCTGGACCTCCAAATGGGTCTCTCTCACAGGACCAGTCCCGCGAGAGTGCTGGTCCATATATGTAATATATATATATATATATATATATATATATATATATATATATATATATATATATATATATATATATATATATATATATATATAATGAGATTATTTGAATTCGATGGTTTCAACACCATGTCATTCACTCACTCGTACACTACAATTGGATTTACCTTTGTTCCGCACCTTGTAATAGAATGTAATTTCATTGATTTCATGTAACGCAGCAAGAAGGATTACTCAGTAGTTCAGTAATGCTCCTAAATCACCCCCCCCCCTCCTTTTTTTTTTTTGCAAACAGGATTAATGTCATGCTAATTTTTCTTGTTACATATCTGATTATCGGGATAGTTAGCCGGTATTGTTATGCCTATTACAATTTGAATTCATCGTAGAGGTTGGCAGCACTGAAATTGTCAATACACACTTCGGCCGGTGGAAAGGTTGGTAACGACGAGGCGCCGAGTTGTATCCATAGGCCTGAATAGGCCTAGGTTCTTTCTCTTGAGGAGGGAAGGGGGCAGGAGGGGGGAGGGGCGGGGTAAATATCCAGGTGAGCCACCTGACAAGTCATCAGATGTAGGTGGCTCGGGGGGGGGGGGGGGGCACTCAGCAAGGTAAGTCATCAAAACAAAAAATAAACCTTTTTTTTTCACCCACTTGGAGTGTGAGAGCTGCTTCTGTCTAGTGTGATGTCCGCAAGGGTGACATCTGCGTCAGGATGGGTGACATCTGGGTCAGGATGGGTGACATCTGGGTCAGGATGGGTGACATCTAGGTCAGGATGGGTGACATCTGGAGTCAGGATGGGTCAGTAAACATTGTGACGACCCCTCTCCCCCCCACCCCCCCACACACCTAATCTAGGTATAGAACACAAAAATATGCACACACACACACATACATGCAATGCACATATGCATTCCTACATACACATGAACATCAATTCTTACATATGAAAAGAACACGAGTTCAGATATATATGTATAACAAAGGAAACATAACAATTGCAAATTGGAAAGGGCCCCTTTCTACTTTTTCCTATTTTTCATATTTTCAAACGTAGCTTTGAATGAATTTAATTGGATGCAAATAGGTGTCTCGTATGGGTCAAAATATTGACCTTGTGCAGTTGTTGTTATTCTTATTGAACTGAATACTATTTATGTTTCTTAAACACCCACTTAAAATATATGCCAATATTTACTCGGAGCCTCTTCATGCTGGAAACAAAACCCAACAACCTAATCGAACAGACACACGAATTCTGAATCCTGATGTAAAATATATATATTTCAGGCTCCAATAGATAGTGTCGACGCACTTTTGAGCTGAGTTTGGATTCATTGTAGTGAGTAATGTATTCACCATACTCATCCAGGGCCTGAATACTGTACTCATCCTTCTGCTCAAAATACCATACTCACACTTTACTCATTTCCAGGTCTACTTCGACAAAAATATTAAAGTTAGAATGTTGAAAACATGTTACATTCAAAAGCAATAGCAGACTCATAATAGTCTTTGTGCTGCTTTACAGTAAAGGTAATACTTAGTTAAAACTGGTTTCTGATTAGTATATATATATATATATATATATATATATATATATATATATATATATATATATATATATATATATATATATATATATATATATATATATATATATATATATATATATATATATATATATATATATATATATATATATATATATATATATATATATATATATATATATATATATATATATATATATATATATATATATATATATTTTTACAGCCCTTGAAATGTCTAGGAATTAACGCAAATATTAGTGTAGATAGAATTATAGTTATTGACTAAACGTTCCTAATACAACATTGTTTAAACGTTTGAAAAATCTTGCTATATACCCTTCGTGCGGGGAAAATTTCCCGCGTAAATCCTCCCCTAAAAAAAAAATTCCCCGGTAAATCTAATTTTGTCTCGCGCGAAAAGAATATATGGCGAGTCGTGGAAGCCTAACACGTCCCTATTGCCATTTGCCATCAGCATATGGCAATAGTTTTCTCGTTTTTTTTTCTCATATGTCACACCAAAACTTCGTTTCCACATTAATATGTTATTATTATTAATGTTAGTTACTCTCCCCCCCCCCATACAGACACAGACACACACACACACACACACACACACACACACACACACACACACACACACACATTATATATATATATATATATATATATATATATATATATATATATATATATATATATATATATATATATATATATATATATGAATGCTCTTTTGTTACTGAAAAATGTTTAATTTTGCTTTAGGCTGTTGATCGTAATTTTTTTCATAGTAGCTTTTCAAAAAAAAAATCATCCGTTTTATTGATCTAGTTCATAGGAACGGGTCGAGTATTAGGATTGATCGTGAGGGGTCGAGTATTAGGATTGATCGTGAGGGGTCGAGTATTAGGATTGATCGTGAGGGGTCGAGTATTAGGATTGATCGTGAGGGGTCGAGTATTAGGAATGATCGTGAGGGGTCGAGTATTAGGATTGATCGTGAGGGGTCGAGTATTAGGATTGATCGTGAGGGGTCGAGTATTAGGATTGATCGTGAGGGATCGAGTATTAGGATTGATCGTGAGGGGTCGAGTATTAGGATTGATCGTGAGGGGTCGAGTATTAGGATTGATCGTGAGGGGTCGAGTATTAGGATTGATCGTGAGGGGTCGAGTATTAGGATTGATCGTGAGGGGTCGAGTATTAGGATTGATCGTGAGGGGTCGAGTATTAGGATTGATCGTGAGGGATCGAGTATTAGGATTGATCGTGAGGGGTCGAGTATTAGGATTGATCGTGAGGGGTCGAGTATTAGGAGTGATCGTGAGGGGTCGAGTATTAGGAATGATCGTGAGGGGTCGAGTATTAGGAGTGATCGTGAGGGGTCGAGTATTAGGATTGATCGTGAGGGGTCGAGTATTAGGATTGATCGTGAGGGATCGAGTATTAGGATTGATCGTGAGGGGTCGAGTATTAGGATTGATCGTGAGGGGTCGAGTATTAGGATTGATCGTGAGGGGTCGAGTATTAGGATTGATCGTGAGGGGTCGATTATTAGGATTGATCGTGAGGGGTCGAGTATTAGGATTGATCGTGAGGGGTCGAGTATTAGGATTGATCGTGAGGGGTCGAGTATTAGGATTGATCGTGAGGGGTCGAGTATTAGGATTGATCGTGAGGGGTCGAGTATTAGGATTGATCGTGAGGGGTCGAGTATTAGGATTGATCGTGAGGGGTCGAGTATTAGGATTGATCGTGAGGGGTCGAGTATTAGGATTGATCGTGAGGGGTCGAGTATTAGGATTGATCGTGAGGGGTCGAGTATTAGGATTGATCGTGAGGGGTCGAGTATTAGGATTGATCGTGAGGGGTCGAGTATTAGGATTGATCGTGAGGGGTCGAGTATTAGGATTGATCGTGAGGGGTCGAGTATTAGGATTGATCGTGAGGGGTCGAGTATTAGGATTGATCGTGAGGGGTCGAGTATTAGGATTGATCGTGAGGGGTCGAGTATTAGGATTGATCGTGAGGGGTCGAGTATTAGGATTGATCGTGAGGGGTCGAGTATTAGGATTGATCGTGAGGGTCGAGTATTAGGATTGATCGTGAGGGGTCGAGTATTAGGATTGATCGTGAGGGGTCGAGTATTAGGATTGATCGTGAGGGGTCGAGTATTAGGATTGATCGTGAGGGGTCGAGTATTAGGATTGATCGTGAGGGGTCGAGTATTAGGATTGATCGTGAGGGGTCGAGTATTAGGATTGATCGTGAGGGGTCGAGTATTAGGATTGATCGTGAGGGGTCGAGTATTAGGATTGATCGTGAGGGGTCGAGTATTAGGATTGATCGTGAGGGGTCGAGTATTAGGATTGATCGTGAGGGGTCGAGTATTAGGATTGATCGTGAGGGGTCGAGCATTAGGATTGATCGTGAGGGGTCGAGCATTAGGATTGATCGTGAGGGGTCGAGCATTAGGATTGATCGTGAGGGGTCGAGTATTAGGATTGATCGTGAGGGGTCGAGTATTAGGATTGATCGTGAGGGGTCGAGTATTAGGATTGATCGTGAGGGGTCGAGTATTAGGATTGATCGTGAGGGGTCGAGTATTAGGATTGATCGTGAGGGGTCGAGTATTAGTGTCGATCAGTATTGATATATAAAAAGTTGTTGATATCAGCAACAGTTTCTTGAGTATACATAAACACTCAACTTCTGTGTATACGAGATATTCATTTTGTATGTATTCTGTATACATAATTTGGCTACATGAGAGAGCCAGGTAACATCGTATGATATTTAAACACCGTAGCTCCACTGACAGCTGATTCCGTTCGAACTTTCCCCGAACAGTGTTTCATTTGCTCACTTCTCTTGTTCGAAATTCTCTTCTCTGAATATTTCAACCAAATTTTGCCAATAAAAATAATTCTGAATAGAAGCGAAAATACAGATTTAACATAAAAATATTAATTTATATGTGATGAAATCACGATTTTGATGTTGTCTTACAATACATTATATGAAGGAGAGAGAGAGAGAGAGAGAGAGAGAGAGAGAGAGAGAGAGAGAGAGAGAGAGAGAGAGAGAGAGAGAGAGAGAGAGAGAGAGAGAAAATCCCCCCACCAGAAAGTTATATAAATCTCAGCTGCCACCACCCTGAATTGCAATATTAATTCTATTATTAATATTTCCGGATCAGGGACCGGGCGTGAAACAAGGGGGAAATTGTATCTAAAATCTCTAATGGCCGGATGTACGTACGACCAGGGACAAAGAGTCGTCCCACTCTCAGCTCGAATGACTCTTAACCATTTAGGGTAGATGGGAGGGCGGTTAATGAATGAACTAGTACACTCTGAACACTTAGATGTGTTGAGGTTAATTAACCATTACTTAAGTAGGGATAAATGACCTTGTGATGATGCTGGGTGAAGAGGTCAAGGGTCGGTCACTCCACTAGTAGGTCAGACAAGACTATTAACACACAAAAAGTGGGGGGGGGGGTCAGAGTTTTAAACATTAGTTTATTGAGGTCCTGAAGTATCTTTTGATGTAGACTCGTAATTACAAGCAGAATAGTTAAGCTGCAACATATCTGGTGTAATTAGCTCCAAGGCTCTTGACCTGACCTGACCTGACCTGACCTGACCTGGCTGTGGTGTTGGCACCCATAGGTGTGACTTCTCAATTTATATTCAGGTGATCATCGCCCAACCAGACTTGTTCTACTGTTCCATTATTCTCTCGTTACAATAGGTTCGGGAACGGTCACCGCTCGAACGAGCACAACCATAGGATGAATTGGTAATGCACCGTTCAGCTGATAACAGAAACATTCCAACATTTGGCGCCAACAGCGGCAAATTAAAAAATCTTGCTCACCGTTATTAAAGTTCAAACTCAAAAATTAAAGTTCAAACTTTAATATATATTTCGTATGGGTGAAACTCCGAGTCCCCCTCACCCTCCACAATCTTGTGTCGAAGGGAATTGAGACTTGCAAGAAGTCGTTTAAAATCTTGCAAGATTCTTGCAGGCGGCGCTGGTCCGTCTGTTGCAAACCTCCGGGTGATAGGTTCAAAATAAAAAATTTTGCTTCACTGTTGCAATATTAAAAACAAAAACAATGTCGTCGTCCTCAGCGGGTAGGAAGACAGCCTATGTCAGGTCATGTCAGGTCAGGTCGGGTCAGATAAGCAAGAGAGAGAGAGAGAGACAGAGATAGAGATAGAAAGCAAGAAATAGGGAGTATCAAGCCATCTTTCCAATTTCCCTGAATAACAGACCTTTGTAATTAATTTAGTTTTCCTCGTACTCAGTGCCCTTTTCACTGCCTTCTTCTGGCTTTCTTTTTACACTGATTTTCCTCCATGGGCCCGTGACCTTCACGTGACCTATTCTGTGCCACAACTCTCTTGTTTTGGGCTCTGACCTTCCGTGGCGCACCTGACCTTTCTGGCCGCCTGTGGGTCATTCTCTGCCTCACGGCCGCTGTGCTCCGCGCGCTCGACTTTATAATCTCTGTGTCCGCAGATATGGAAACTTTAGAAAGCAAGGATAAAGATCTTTATCCTTTATTTCTTCTTGTCTAAAACCCGTCAAAATATTGTGTTAATCAACGCTATGTATTTGTTGCATCTCTCTCTCTCTCTGTCTCTCTGTCTGTCTGTCTGTCTCTCTCTCTCTCTCTCTCTCTCTCTCTCTCTCTCTCTCTCTCTCTCTCTCTCTCTCTCTCTCTCTCTCTCTCTCTCTCTCTCTCTCTCTCTCTCTCTCTCTCTCTCCCTCTCTCCCTCTCTCCCTCCCTCCCTACTCGTCCGAGTTCCCTTCACAACACAAACTACTAAATCAAGAAACGACGTTATAAAAAAACAAATATCGCTCATATTCGCGGCTAACGAAGGGAATTTTTGAACGCACTGGCGCGAAAATATAATATATATATATATATATATATATATATATATATATATATATATATATATATATATATATATATATATATATATATATATATATATATATATATATCATGGAACAAATCTGGCAATTAGCGTGGCAATGTGAGTACAAGGAAGCCTTCAGTAAATGAATGGAGTAAAGTAAATGAATATTCCTCTCTTCATTTTGAAGAGAGGAATAAGAGAAAGAAGCGAAGAAGAAGAAGAACAGAGAACAAAACAATGTGTTGTTTTCATATTTTACATTTTTCCCGCCAAAAAAATATTAATAAAAATATGGCGCCAAAAATCTCTCGACACTATCACTTCTGTTATAATTTACTTAGAATGCACTTGTTCAATTACTTTTATTTAATAATTCTATTAAGTTTACATAGCACTCAAAAAAATAATTGTCTCGTATTGCTGGAATTTTCGGAGCTGTGGTAGTGATAATTTTTTTTTAATTTGTTCAAAGTCTTTAGTAATTTTAAACCAGTTTTTTTTAAAGATATAGGCACTTTTGATAGAAAAACAGGTGTAATAGACCATTTTTTAATGATAGGTCTAAAAGGGTTTTGAATTCCATTTTTAATATCGTATCTGAAACGAAGGTGAGAGGAAATGTCAGCACTGTGGAGAAATGCCCGACAGACCACTGGAACAATATCAAACACAGTGCACAGTTACAGTCACAACAGACCACTGGAACAATACCTAACACAGTGCACAGTTACATCCACAACAGACCACTGGAACATCACCTAACACAGTACACAGTTACAACTACAACAGACCACTGGAACATCACCTAACACAGTACACAGTTACAGTCACAACAGACCACTGGAACAATACCTAACACAGTACACAGTTACAGCCACAACAGACCACTGGAACATTACCTAACACAGTACACAGTTACAAACTCATTAAGATTTCAACTTAGCTTCAACAGAGCAGAAGACGTTGTTAAACACATGGGACAAAATCATACTGAAGCGACCATACGAGTCATAAATACTCATACTCCGCCCAAGTAAAACAGAAACAAGCAACACTTAGTGGGCCAGCCAGAGGCTTAGGGCCCGCCGAGTGGGCCAGCCAGAGGCTTAGGGCCCGCCGAGTGGGCCAGCCAGAGGCTTAGGGCCCGCCCAGTGGGCCAGCCAGAGGCTTAGGGCCCGCCCAGTGGGCCAGCCAGAGGCTTAGGGCCCGCCCAGTGGGCCAGCCAGAGGCTTAGGGCCCGCACAGTGGGCCAGCCAGTGGCTTAGGGCCCGCCCAGTGGGCCAGCCAGAGGCTTAGGGCCCGCCCAGTGGGCCAGCCAGAGGCTTAGGGCCCGCCCAGTGGGCCAGCCAGAGGCTTAGGGCCCGCCCAGTGGGCCAGCCAGTGGCTTAGGGCCCGCCCAGTGGGCCAGCCAGTGGCTTAGGGCCCGCCCAGTGGGCCAGCCAGTGGCTTAGGGCCCGCCCAGTGGGCCAGCCAGAGGCTTAGGGCCCGCCCAGTAGGCCAGCCAGAGGCTTAGGGCCCGCCCAGTGGGCCAGCCAGTGGCTTAGGGCCCGCCCAGTGTGCCAGCCAGAGGCTTAGGGCCCGCCCAGTGGGCCAGCCAGAGGCTTAGGGCCCGCCCAGTGGGCCAGCCAGTGGCTTAGGGCCCGCCCAGTGGGCCAGCCAGTGGCTTAGGGCCCGCCCAGTGGGCCAGCCAGTGGCTTAGGGCCCGCCCAGTGGGCCAGCCAGAGGCTTAGGGCCCGCCCAGTAGGCCAGCCAGAGGCTTAGGGCCCGCCCAGTGGGCCAGCCAGAGGCTTAGGGCCCGCCCAGTGGACCAGTCAGAGGCTTAGGTCCCGCCCAGTGGGCCAGCCAGTGGCTTAGGGCCCGCCCAGTAGGCCAGCCAGAGGCTTAGGGCCCGCCCAATGGGCCAGCCAGTGGCTTAGGGCCCGCCCAGTGGGCCAGCCAGTGGCTTAGGGCCCGCCCAGTGGGCCAGCCAGAGGCTTAGAGCCCGCCCAGTGGGCCAGCCAGTGGCTTAGGGCCCGCCCAGTGGGCCAGCCAGAGGCTTAGGGCCCGCCCAGTGGGCCAGCCAGAGGCTTAGGGCCCGCCCAGTGGGCCAGCCAGAGGCTTAGGGCCCGCCCAGTGGGCCAGCCAGAGGCTTAGGGCCCGCCCAGTGGGCCAGCCAGAGGCTTAGGGCCCGCCCAGTGGGCCAGCCAGAGGCTTAGGGCCCGCACAGTGGGCCAGCCAGAGGCTTAGGGCCCGCACAGTGGGCCAGCCAGAGGCTTAGGGCCCGCCCAGTGGGCCAGCCAAAGGCTTAGGTCCCGCCCAGTGGGCCAGCCAGTGGCTTAGGGCCCGCCCAATGGGCCAGCCAGAGGCTTAGGGCCCGCCCAGTGGGCCAGCCAGAGGCTTAGGGCCCGCCCAGTGGGCCAGCCAGAGGCTTAGGGCCCGCCCAGTGGGCCAGTCAGAGGCTTAGGGCCCGCCCAGTGGGCCAGCCAGAGGCTTAGGGCCCGCCCAGGAATAACGAAAAAGGAATAACATTTTTCGCTATCAAAAACGATAACGAAAAATGTGATGATGCTGATGATAACAATGTTGATAACGAGGGCGCCAAGAGCAAGGCGATAACCAAAACGATAGCAACAGCGGGAGGGGGGAAAAAATCGCTGCAATAGCTGTCCCGATAACATCATTAACGTTGGCGATATGATAGCTCGGACTGAAGCGATGTTGCTATCAGTTG